GAAAGGTGAATGACAGATTGGGTAAGAACAGTGGATGACTAAGCAGTAGAGCTAAGAACTCCCTTCTGTCACCTTTCATATCTATCTATCTTAAGCCATTGCGATTACTGTACACCTTTGTTCTTTCTAAGAGCGTATCAGATTGCTAGAAAGAGTTCAGTGTGAAATAATTATTCTGGATGTTTTGGAATGAATTCAGATTTAATAATTCAGAGATTCCCAATGATATAATCTGTGTAATGTGATCTGGCTGAAATATGAAGTTTCTTTAGATTCTCAGAGTGTGGTTGGCTGATTTGACTTCGGCCAACAAGTCAGTAATGCCTTTTTTCACTAGTAAAACTTGTTCATGATAATTCTGGCCATCTTTTAATTCTTATTCATGAGTGTGGTTTAGAGACGCAGTCTGTCTCACTGGAATTATAAATCCCTTAGTCATTTATAAACCATCCTGATTAGAAATAAGATCCCCAGTGAAGTCAATGTTAGAAATACTGGAAGATTTCTATAATCCATATATTCTAGTACTATGGTCTGTGTTATGGTTAAATATTGGACTTCTATTTATTGGTCTTTCAATTGAGGACTCACAAGCCTGGGAAAGCCTAAGATAAGCGTTCATTTAGGCTTTGATCCTTTAACATAAAATAACCTATTAAAAGTTCATTTCATGACATAAGCCTCACTATATAGGCAACATTTTAGAGTGAAATGTTCAGGCAGTCTGATGCTGTAGTCAGTTGACTATTATATGTGATTTTTAAAAATACCCTTTTAAAGAGATGTGTTTTATAAACAGAAAATTTCAATATGCTGCGTGTTTAACTTTTATTCTCAGGTTGGTGAGACCCGATGCAAGAAAGTTTGTACTTCTAAGTCTGATCTGAGATCGAATGACTTCAGCATCGTTGGGAGCTTGCCAAGAGATTTTGAATTATCCAATTATGACTGCTATGGCAAACCCATCGAAGTCAACAATGGACTTGGGAAGTCTCAGGCAAAGAACAACAAGAAGCCGCCCCCTGCCAAACCTGTTATCCCCACAGCAGCAAAGAGAATTGATCTTTATGCAAGAGCATTGTTTCCTTTCTGCTTCTTGTTCTTCAATGTTATATATTGGTCTGTATATTTATGATAAATCATTTTCCACTTGTATAAAATAACATCTCACTTCATTGTGATGAACTTCATTCATAAATGCCAATCTGTGAAAAACTTTGCATTTTCCTAGCAATATATTGCATTTTGGATGCCATTGGATTGTAAGAAAAACGTGGCACTTTAATTTTGAATGGCAGCATGGTCTTGTTATATCTGTGCTCTAACAATGATGTATATATGTATAGCAAACATTGCTTTAGGAATAAATGAAGGATAAGCATACTACAGAAAATAAAATCCAAAAATTCTCTTCAGTTAATGTAAATACCAAATACTTCAGATAATTCTGGTAATAAAACGACACGCACGCTGAATCCTGTTATGGTCACCATTCTAATGTGTGTAGTATTGCAATTTTCCTTCCTTGTAACTTTCAGAGAAAAGCCATCTTATTCTTGTATAATTTTAGATGGCATTATCTCAGATTAAGCAAAATTATATTACATATTGTTTAAACTTTGTAAGTAGAAATATATCAGCTATAATTATGTGGGCTCTGTGGAGAAATAAAGTTCACAAATTACTAATTTGTCACATTAGCTCATTTTAAAGTGTGCCTGTGTTGTCAAAATGCCAGATAATAAAACACAGTAAGCATTTTTGAAAAAAAATAAATAAATCTGGATTTATGTAAATTCATACTCAATTCTGGCTTCTGATAAAATAAAAATAAAGGATAGATACATTGATCAACTATTTCTGATAAAAGAAATTCTATTTAATCCACCTTAAATCCTAAATATATTTTCATGGATTTCATTTTCTTAATACAGAGTATACAAAATCATTGTGCCTTAATAAGAGTAATATATATTTTAAATTGGAATATAGTAATGGATATGTGATTTCACATCATTTTTAATAAACCCAGAGGACAATACCCTATTACTAGAAGTAACTTGAGTTGGGGAAAAAAAAACCCCACAATCATTTAAGTATTTTAACTTCTTTAGTTTATTAAAATGCTTACACATCTTTAAGTAAAATTATTTTTTTTCTGAATTCATTTGTTTTCTGTATTTTTTTACTATTTTTGGATTTGTTACAAAACATGTAAAGATTAAGTAAATAATATCTTTATGTTGAGGCCTCACTTATACTTGTATTTTCTTTCTTGCTAAAAGTCTAGACTAGATTTACTAACTTTGATCTTGTTCCAACATAAAAGTAGGCACTTTCTGGTCTATAAAACTCTTATTCCTAGTAATATCACAGTCAATATAACTTTTTTATTTCTCCATAGCTGAAATTAGAACTATCAATAATTCGCATAACATAAACATAAGACCAAATACATATATTTATATCATTTGGAGAGTTTTGTTGTAGCTGAGCATTTGTATGATCAATTCAGTAATAAAATTTGTTTAAATATTGTTTATGCAAATTGCTTACTGTAATCCAAGGCTATTTTATTGAAGACTTTTCTTTAATTTTTAAAAGATTCTCACTGATTACTAATTTTTTTTAATGAAATGTAATCTAATCCTCTGTAATCCTTCATCACCCCATAGTTACAAAAGCTTCGCCATCTGAATAGTTTTAAAATGCAACAAGTAACCCTACTGATGGACTTCAATATCCTACTAGGACCTGGGCTAATATTTTAATGGAATTGTGGTAGGAAAACAAAGTCTTGAATAAAACTTAAACCATTTAAAAATATATTTATAATAATTACATTTGCTTATAATCTTAATACCTGAAAATTTATTCATATTAGGGAGTTTGATTTAGATGGTTTTAAGTGGGAAGTATACCAAATGGAAGACAGGTGTCATTATATAAGAATTTGTTGAAAATAATGTGAATGAATTCCTTTCTGTAATATAATAGTGTAGCATCTTAAGATCAATTTTAATACCGAAATATATATATATATATATATATATATATATATATATATATAGCTACCCCATGATTAACTGTGTATATATAACTACAAATGGAACGTTAGACAATGATCATAACAAAGAAGTACAATCAGTGTCCACTAACTTGCTTTGTAATTGTTATCTCCAGGATTTAGTCACTTAGTACCAGGGTAGTTCTGATCTGTGTACTTTAAACATTGTGTTCCTAAGAGTCTTGCAATATATCTACCTGGATATCAGTATGTCAAATTCAGTGTCTCCAAAATAAAAATGATCTTCTCACAAATCAGTAGGTCCTCTTGTTTTCTATTTCTGCTAAAGTTATCACTACAGTAAGTCCCCAACTTACAAAGGCGCTCTGATCTGAGAGAACGTTCCTAAGTCAGATTTGTTCATAAGTCGGACAAAGTGAGTCTTATACACCTTTAACACAAATATACAATGTAAAGCATAAAAAAACTAAACACAAAAACACTGTAAATAAACTATTCTTGCCTTTACAGCTACCTTAAAATGGTGGTACAGTACAGTACAACTGGCATATAGGGGATTGCATGGCATGAACTGACAAGAGCAGACATGTGAGCTACTTCCACGATTTGTTCGCATCTACCAATGTTCGTCATGCGGGGCCCGTTCTGTGAAAATTTGCAACTGGAATGTTAGTAAGCCGGGGACTTACTGTATTCCAGACACCCATATTAAATCTCCCTTCCTTTTTTACATTGTAAATCCTTTCAAGTACAAGCACTACAAATTCTCCCTCTTACACCTACCACCCCCTCTCTATTTCTGCTGACACCACCCTAATTCGGTTTCCCATTCTTAACCAGACTATTCCAGCAGTCACAAACTCACCCCACTATAACTCAATTTATTTTTGAACTGACTTGGTTATTTTCATTTTTTAATTGCCCAAGTAATACATGAACACCTTGTTATATTATTAAACAAACATGTATTAGGAGTAACCACTTAAAAGTTACTATCATAGCCTTCTCTCTTCAAACTCCTCTTTTTTCCCAGAGGTCACCACTGTCTTTTATCCACAGGACCTTACTCTAGGCATTTATATCCTCTATCTAATTTGTAAATATAAAAGATAAATTAACAATGGGATTTAACATAAAGGGGATATTACCAGATGTATAGTTTTGCGATTTATTTATTTAATATGTCTCAGAGACTTTTCTCTTTGAGGGCACATTGGATGTTCATAAATCTATCTTCTGCCTGCTATTATTCTATAGCATCAATGTGCCTGAAATTAAGCAGAAGTTTTGATTGTTTTTCTTTTGTAATAAAAAGAGTATTGCAATGACTATCTGTGCACATATATGTATATTTCTATGAGGCAGATGCCAGAAATGAATAGAATGATGTATACATTTTAAATTCTGATAGGTCCTCCCAAATTTCCCTCCAGAAAGCTGCTAACGTAGATTTCCACAGCTTAGTCATCTCTTAACCTATTTTATGTTGTTGACATAATTTTCTCTTTTAAAAAACTTTTTGACATTGTTTCAAATGTTTAAAAAAGTTACAAAAATATCACAAAGAATCCCTCTGTTCCTTTCACCCAGATTCCCCAAATGTTAATATTTTATCACACTTGCTTTATTTTGCTCCACCTACTGCGTGTGTGACCATGAGACATTTTTTTCTGAAACTTTAAAATAAAGTTGCAGATATGATGTCCCTTTATGTCTATATACTTTAGTGTATGTTTCTTAAACAAGGACATTCTTTCATAGCCACAGTAGTATCCATATCAAGAAGTTAACATTGGTAAAATTCTATACACACCTATTCCAAATTGCCAATTGCCTCTCTCTCTCTCTCTCTCTCTCTCTCTCTCTCTCTCTCTCTTTCTCTCTCTTGATATATATATATATATATATATATATATATATATATATACATTTTTGTTTTATTTTGTTCAGAATCTAATAAGACTGGAAGAAATCAGTCTCACATATTTCACTTAATTGTTATGATATTAATTCCTTTCAAATAAAGCTGTGATTATGGCATTCTGCTCAAACATCTTTAGTATCTTGTATTGCTCAATGAACCAAACAAAAAAATCCTCTGACATAAAATTATTTCTTACTAAATATTTAGTTTATCTTTCTAGCCATTTATCACATTCCTCTGCTCACATCTTAAATTCCAGCTAAACTGATTTTGACCTTTATGTAAATGTGTTTAGCACTGAGTGGAGTACCGAGCTGTCCCTTTCCGTTTTAGGTAAGTGGTTAATATTATGTTTCATTATTTCTCTTAAGAGGGTCAACTTGTATGTCATATCTTCAAATATTCATTTGAACTAATATGTTTTCATTCAACTTTAAGTGGTTTTTAGTCATGGTTTTTATCTCTATTGAACAATGAAGTTAAAATATTTTCCATTACATATGCAGTGTTCAAATTAAGTTGCCCTAAAAACAATTTATCATCATTTATATTTATTTTTTTATTTTATTTTATTTTTTTTTTAATTTTTTTTTAGCTGAGCCATCCTGCTACCTGTTGGCAGCTCAGCGGCTGCTCAGCTCGGGCTGGCATCGAACCGCTGTTGCTCAGAGCTCAAACTCTTGAGCGAGCTCTTAACCAACTGAGCCACTCGGCCGGCCCTTATCATCATTTATATTGATGATGAAAATTTCAGTTTACATAAACAGGTGGATATAAAATTTTAAAGCAGCAAGACTAAGATGAGAAATAGTTTGAAATCTTTTTATAAGCTTTAACCAAGGCTTTCTTGATAGACTATTACTACCTTGCTTTAGAACAACAGATTTAATCCAATTATATTTTCAAGTCAAACGCATAGGTTTACAAAATATATTATTTACACAATAATTTAGTATTCACTAACTTCCCCTCCTTTCTTTTTAGGAAGCTAGCCTTAACCTTTTAAGACATTAGGGTAAAGTTATTTCAAAGTATCAGACACATCAATGAAGTAAAAATACTTCACAGACTTTCTTGCAAATAATATTAATAGACAATATGGATGGCATATTCAAGGTTGGCTATACTCAGTGTGTGTAAGTGCATATATGCAGGCACTTGATATTTTATATTTTAATACATTGTATATTCTCTCTATATATAGATATAGATATAGATATAGATATATCTAAACACAAACACACACACTCATACATACTGGGGTATAATAACATATATATACACTGGGGGTGCCAAAAAATGTATACAAATGGACACTTTGGTGAACATTTCTCAAGCAGTAGTTCATAATCAGAAGTGTCTGGATGCTGATGGTAACCACTTTGAGCACCTCATAATTGCAGAAGTCAAACGTGACTTGTACGCATCTTTGGCTATTGGTATATATTGACTATTACAATTTTAATACAGTTTTCCTTTCTTAAAATGTGTATACAATTTTTTGGCACCCCTGTATGTATGTGTGTGTGTGTGTGTGTATANATGTAAGTAAATATTAGAAAATGTGAAGTATTTATGTGACTTAAGTTATAATATCATATAAATATGGCTTCTTGTTTAGTTATTTTACAGATACTAAATGCACATCTAAAGCAACATATAAAATGTGATTTATAGTAAATGCATTTTTATAGTAAATACATTTGGCCTTCTTTGTGAAAAAGCAAAAATAACTGATAAAAGGTCGTGCTTTTTAAGTCCATTGGCAGAAGCTAGAGTACTCCTTTGTTTTGATAAGTGGATTCTAAAGCAAAGTTAGTGTTTCTAAAGCTTTTGGAGTGGAAAATTCTAAAGGGACAAAAAGCTGGCATACCCCCTGTGTCCTAGTTTTTGAAGGTTGCTCTGATATTCTGAGAATAATGCAAAGACTTGATATGTAGAGTCTGTTCTCAGCTTCTGTTCCAATCAAGGTAGTGATGTACTCTTTACAAAAATCCACTGATGCATGCTGAGCCTTACACATTCCTCAAACCACCCTGGAAAACTAGACCTTCAAATGTGCTTGGAATACTGAAAAGTAAGGTGTATTGACTGTGAATGTATGAGTCTGTATGTATGTGCCTGGTGATGGCGCTTAGATGGCAGACTGCTTGCTGAAAATGGCCTTTTAACATTTGAAATGGAGGAGCTTAAATGGAAGGTCCAGAAATAACTATGTATCTATCTGTCATCTACCTATCTATCTACCTATCTATCTATTTTTCCATCTATGAATGATATCCCAAAATCACATGTGTGACTTCGTTCAGATAAAAGACAGTGTCCCAAGTTCCTGAAGGACTTATGGGAATAATTTGTTTTACTTCTTACATTTTATCAAATACTTTTTAGCAAACAGTATTCTAGTCCATGCAGATAGAATCGTAGTCAGTGTATTATACTAATTAGGCAAAAATAGAGTAGCTATAGTCTATTTACAGTATACAATGACATATTTCCC